AATCTCAAAATTATACATTAAAGAAAAAAATTGGTAAGTATTAGCACTGTGTATTTGGATGATTTCTTTTTGTCTTTTAGGATATTCCAATCATATATTTCTGCGCAACAAACAATATCACAACTTTTTTTTTTTTAATATATCTTTATTGATTTCAGAGAGAGGAAAGGAGATGGAGAGATATAGAAACATCAATGATGAGAGTCATTGATTGGCTGCAGCTCACAACCCAGGCATGTGCCCTGACAGGGAATCAAACACTGATCGCTTGGATCCTAGGTTGACGCTCAACCGCTGAGCCACGCCCGGCAGGCCCACAACTTACTTCTTACAATGGCAATGATCATTTATTTTTCTTATCAATCTGCAACTTGGGCAGGGCTCAGAAGGGGTTGGCTCATCTCTGCTTCAAGCAACAACAGCTGGTGTGACTCAATGGAGCCTGAAGAATCTCCTTTCCAAGGTGGCTCAATAACATGTTGGTGCCAGCCATTAGCTGGGAGTTCAGCTGGGCTTGCTGGCCAGGGGTCTCAGTTCTTCTCCAGGTGGGCCTCTCCATGGGGCTACTTGGGCTTCCTAACAGTATGGCAGCAGGGTTGCAAGACAAGTGTTCCAACAGAAAGGAAGTAGAACCTGCACTTCCTTAATGCCTGGGCCTGGTAACAAGCACAGCATCATGTTCTGCTATGTTCTATTGGTCATGCTATCACAGAGCCTGCTCAGATTCAAGGGCAGGGGATCCTCTTATGTCAAGGAATTTGTGGCTATGTTTAATCTACCAATATAAGTCAACCTTTTAACAAATTTTCTTTAATGAGTATTATTACAAGTGGGGCCATGTGAAACATCTTTAAAATGCTTTTAATTAAAATTTTGAAAACACCAATATAAACTCTTTGATAATCCATAAAACTACTCAGAATAGCAAATTTCTCTTCTCTTTGCCCTCAAAGCTCCTTCTCCACCTACCTACCTCTAGACAGGCAGACAGACACACACACACACACACACACAATCTCCCACCTTTGGGCACTTTGCTCCTGGCCTGGTCGTCTTTGTTTTCTGGTGAGGATATTAAGTAAAAATTAGAGTACTGGTCATGGTGGGTTTTGGTATACCCCACTAGAGATAGATACTTTTCAAAAGGTGTCTGTTAGCAACCCTCCATTTCCTGATATCCCCTCAGGTACAAGTAGACTGATGAATGAAGCTCACCACCTCCAAAGGGCTACTGACAAGGCTGTGTGTGTACTTCTAAGCAGGTACCTGGTTGCCTTCCCTCTCTCCTACCACATCTAACTCGGTGGTTATTAAACGCTAAAGGGCTCACAGATGCCTGATATGGTCATATTGACTCTTAAAAGCTTTTCTCAAATTGGCTCATGTCTCATAATATTTGCTCTTAGATTACTTAAAGAAGTGCTCATCTGAGGATGCTGCCTTCATGTGATCATGAAGCCCATCTCTTTAGTTTTTAATGAAACAGAAGGCTAATAAACTCTTACAGAATAAATATTAAGGTCTAACTACAAAGCAGTAAGATTACTGCCTAGGATTAAATGGGACAGTGTGTCAGAGGCCTTTTCAGTTTGTTCTGTCTGGTTGTGTACACGTGTGTGTGAGAGAGAGAAAGAGAGTTTTGCCCTGGTTTCCAGTTTTATACAGTCCTCTTGGGAGATGACAGAGCTGCTAGTGATACCCAATATCCCAGAATTTTCACTAATGCTGTGGATCCTCTGGACAGAAAAATGTACATGAGCATAAGCAAAGTATACTACATATTTTGGGGGATTCACGGACACCTGTTGAGATTAAGAAACCTCCATGTTGGAGAGAGCTCAGATCTTTGGTGACTCAGGACAGGAGGTGGTGCCTGAAGATGTCATGGTGACTTAGGGCTTGCTGAGCCATGCCAGGAACACAGACAACTGTCTCCAATCCTACTTGTTCCTTGAGCCATCACAGCAGTTACCTGTGAATAAATCCCAACAGAGAAAGGCAAAGGAGCCTGGGTACAGACCAAGCTTCCGTACTAGTGACCCTCATGCCCACCTACATGGCAGAAATACTTCCCATACCTGAAGCCCTTTATGCTTTCCTCACCCTTCCCTGATTCTCTCCTTTCCTCTGCCAAGTACTTAATGAGCACCTTTTAGACCCCTTTTTCAGGGCTAGGGGCTAGGAATACACCTGTGAATGAACTCTGGCTCCTATCATTCATTAAACAAATTCATTGAATATTCACAGAATCCAATGCACTTTCGTTTTTACAGTCTACGTCCCGCAAGCCATGCACATGTACACGCTTACAATGCAACACAAAAGCAACTGTGGGGGCAGAGAAAGGCAACTCTCTGCCAGGGTGGGTCATGGAAGCCTGATCAGGGAAGGGGAATTGATTCCCATGTTTTTTAAAAAATAGGCAGACAAGGAAGGAAGAAGGGACAACATGTGCAAAGGCATTCAGGTGCCAAAGAACATGGTACTTTCCGGTTCAATGTGGCTGGACCAAGATCAGCAGGAGTCAAAGCAAGAAAGACAGGGAAAGGCCAAATCTTGAATGTCCTAAGTGCATGCAAAAAAAAAAGGTTATAACTACTGACACGGAGCCTCTGGAAGACTCTAAGCAGAGGAATGAAATGATGGGCTTGGGTTTCAGAAGCTAACTCTGATGGCAGAATAAAAGATGCACTAGATGAGGCCAAATGAGAAACAGAAAGACTGGTGGGAGGGAGGCTCCTGAGAGGTCCTGGGGAGGGGTTGAAGGGGGTCTAAATCCTAGCAGGGGCAGCAGGGAAAGAAATGGTCAAATATGAGAGCTTCAGAAGACAGTGTGAACAGAAATTGGCGAAGGACTCAGTGAGGGGGAGCGGGGGTAAGGGAGGAGTCATTATGACTTCCAGGTTCCTTATTTGGGCAAATAGAAATGAGGTTCCAACACAGGAGCCACCAGGTTGTGTGGGGTAGATGGTGAGGCCCGGGGGCATGAGGAGCCGAGGGCTTGGGGAGATGTGCGTCCTGGCGATGCGGCTGCAGGTGAGATGAGCACCACCACTTGGCCAGTCCTGGCTCTAAGGTCCTCGCTCACCAAAATCGAGACTGAAATACCTATGGGTGTTTTGCCAATCTTGTGTGGAAAAAACCAGTTTTTTATAAAACTCTCTCAAGTGAGATCGTTCATGAAAAGGGCCACTTGTGTGGGGGTGACGAAGAGGAAATCATCTTTGTGCCAAATTTGCCTTTCTCTGCCCTCACGTCATAGCAGACTCCGCCAAGACCACTGTGATCAAGTTTCATTCCTCCCTCCAACCCTCTGTGCAACTTCTGGCTGCGCAAGACGAATACTTCCATATGGTGCGATGTTTATGTTGAGGCGGAGAAAAATATGAAATGATTTCAGAAAATTTTATCCAAGAAGCAATAAATTTACAAATGCTAAACAGCTGGAACAAAATATTGCTCTGTAATTGGTTTTGGATGAAGGGTCTTCAACAAGAATAGGAAACTTGGGGCAGTGTGTTAATCACTGATGTTCAGGGACCTTGGATGTCTTCACACAGCCCTCCCTAAGGTAATCAGACAGATGATTTGCTATCTTGAACCTCTTTATTGTCGTCTGTAAAATGGGTTTAAACGTTTTACCACTCACAGGTTTTTATGAGGATTAAATGAGCTAATGCAGGTGAAGACCTTAGAATAGCAGTCATCGGTTAGTAGGTAGGTACGCGGCAAATGTTAGTGCTTCCTCTTATTACCTATTACCTATAAGCTACGTGACGGGGGAAGGGGAATGGGGCGACCTGGAGCTGGGAGGCACAAGGTCAGAACAGTAGACAAGAAGGAAGGTTTTCAGGACTTACCTATGGAAGGAAGGATGCCCATGCCACCTAGAACTGTCGAGGTGAGAAAGCTGTGTGACTGGGAGTGGTTACTAAAAGGTGATCAGACAAAGGTAAAAGAGATTTGGGGGGAAGGGGTGTTATGCAAAGCCTGTAGAACCAGGGGCTTCCTGACATATGTTTTGGATCATCACACCCTTGTATAATAATTTAATTCACTAGGCCAAATGAGAGCAAGAAGGCAAGAGTACTAAACCACCAGAACTGTCTAGCAGGAACTATTTGATGTGGGAAAACTATCCCATGTCTATGTGAAATCAGTCCATAGGATTTTATCTATTGACTCAATATTACTGTGGACAAACTGCCAGCTTTTGTTTTAGTTTTCCAGTCACAAAAGCACAAGGATCTTTCAGAATGATTCTTAATGTCTTCTACTTAGATAGCTCCTACATTTACAAAGCATTTCTACACCTAATTTAATACTGACAAAAATCAGGCAAAGTAGGTATCATTAAAATAGCAAATACTGAGTGCAGATTTACTGTGTGCCAGGTTCTATACTAAACACTCTACCAGTCTCATCTAATCCTTTTTACAAACCTACAAGGACAGTACAATTATCATCTGAGGCTACATGAGAGAAATTCAGCAGCTCTCCCGAGGTGACCCACAGAGCAAGAGCGGGGGCAGGATTTGAATCCACACCGATCTGGTTTCAAAGCCTGCTTCCTAACTCCTAACCACTGCATCTGCTGTTGCTGAAGGATCATCAGATACACGTTCTTTCCTCGTGTGGCAATGCTTTTAGTTTGAATTCAGCCTAATTATTTACAGCCCCGTAAACGACTGTTGTGATATTACACAGAAATTGTAAACTTCTCGAAGTCTGTTTCCATACTCCTTCCGCTCCGAGGATGGCTCAAGACAGATGCGCATCTCCATGTACATTCCCTTCCCCCAAGGTTATGAGAATCTGCACAAGACCAATAATTGGTGAATAAAGTTTCCAAATACCTAAAGTACTTGGTAATAGGCTAAGGATCTGTTTCTTATTTACTTATAAGACAGTCTAACAGTTGTAGATAAGACAATGTGAGCATAATCTTCGGGAAGGGTAGCTACCAATCTTTTGAATGGTTCAATAAGGCAAAGTACAAAATCTGTTCATAAAAATGTATTTTTCATTTCATTAAAAAAAAGCCCGTCCAATATCCCTCCCCCTCACGCAAGCAGCTGTCATCTGAGCTTCTTCAGATTTTACGTTTTTTCCATTCTGGCTCATTCTTTGCTTCCTCATCATCAGATTCAACTTGTGCAAACATGGTTTTGGGCTGAGTCCTAAAAGAAAGTTAAAGAGAAAGGGAAAAGGTAGTCGGCAAGTGCTCATTCGATTAGACTCACCTTTCATCGCGTGGGGGCACATTTGGGGACTCGATTACACTCCAGCTATTACAGATCAATCGTTAAACTTCTGGCAAGGAAAAGAATCATGAAAATTTAATAATGTTTAAGGGAAGAGCCAAAGAGTTTTTTAGGGGTCTTCCCTCTGTGGCAGACTGTGGGCACGGCCCTTTCCGTGAATAAAACGAAACTGGTCAAGTTCAGTGGGTCCTCCCATACACCCCCCTCACACTTACACTCAAGCGAATTGGAATTGCTCCAGAGGACAGAGGACAGTCACCGAGGGAGCGAGAATCTGCACGCCCTGCATTTATAGCTCTCCAGGCTGTTCCTACACTTAAGTGGTCCAAACACACTTAAGCTCCCATGAATGGGAGAATCTGAGATAATAGTTAATTTACCTAATGAGTTAAAATAATAGATAACATATATAGTAATTTGAGCACTGCCAGCAAAAACAAAACCAAACAAACAGAAGGACATTCCCCCCAGCACTCAGATCAACGCACAGAAAGGTGGAGCACTGAGGGAAAATTGCTAATATCACTGCTGTAGGACCGGCAATCTCTGCATTGGGACTTTCTGTGCTTTGCAAACATACCTGGTCCAATGGCATTCCTTTCTACACCCTTCACACAGAAAGTGATTCCAAACAAAACGTCAAGTGGTTGTCATTGGTGCCCCTTTTGGTCAGCTACTGCTGATTTCCTTTTAAAAACAGCTCTATCACAGTATAAGGAAACATGAAAGCATTATAGCTGAAGATCATCTATTTCAGCTTAAATCTTCATTTCAATTCACTATATGAGGTAACTCCAGAATGGTCAATATAATATCACCAACAATAACTCCTTTTACTTGGCAAGTGAAACAGGGTTGAACCCTGTGCGCCTTGCTGTTCCTCCGTGGTCCTGGGCAAGCACACACCATCGCGCTCACGGTCTGTTCCGATGCGAGCCGCGCACTCCACTTCCTCGCGCATAAACTGGGCACAGCTCCTGTCTCTCCAATCACCTCACATGTGTACCTAAAGAGCCAAGCTGTCCCCATACACAATCCAGTTGGTTAAACTTCTCGTTGTCACTTCCAGGCACCGTTATGGCATCAACAACCAGACACAGCTCTAACAGTTCCCCAAGCAGCTGCAGGTTTTCATAGGTCGGGAGTTGCTCAATTACTAGAAAGCAGGGCCCTGGCTTTCTAACATGCAACCTGTGCTCGGTACATATTCCATCTCCTGGCAAAGATGGTGACCACACAGGTATGGACAAACCCACCCAGGAATAAATTGGTCTGGTTTTAAAAACCCTTTGAATTCGATAATCTAAGAGGAAATAAAAAACAAATGGTGTTCTAAAGCTCTGCAATGCTCGTCAATTTTCGTTGTAAGGAAACTTAAGTACTAAGAAGTTGTAATGCTGCTTTTTTGAGCATTAAAAAAGAAAAGGAACAACAGATCACAGGAAGGAAACCGGAGCTTGAAAGGGTTATTTCATTTAAGTAGTTACTCTTTTCTATTTTTCTATTCCACCTATTTCCAAAAGTATGTTTAGCAAATCGGAGTTAACACAGAAGGCACAGCTTTCATCAGGGGCAGAAGGGAAGAAATGACTGCAAAGGGGCCCAGGGAACATTTGGGGAAGAATGTGATTAGTCTACAATCTTGACTGAAATGGTGATTACACAGATGCATATATCTGAAATGAGTACTTTTTGTGTTTTATTGTATGTAAATTATATCTCAATACAATTGACTTTAAGGAAAATCAAAACAACACAAATGAGTAGAAGGTCAAGGACCAAGGAATGAAAGGGTATATAACTGAGCACAAAACTTAGCACTGAATTTCTTAGCAGTTGAGTCAAAGGAACAAGATTAGTTTTTCAAAGAAGATGCCTTTTTCTCCCTCCTGCACTTAACTCAGCAGAATTCACCCAGTAAATTTTTACATCATGGTCACTTACACTTCACTTCCTGTTTCCATTTCCTCTACACAATTTCCATTTCCTCTCCAGGCATTTTAACTTAGGGGATATCAACATTTGGAAGGTGTGAAACTCCACAAAATTTATTTTAAATTCTACTTTTGAACTAATAACTACGTTGTCAGCAAAATAGCCATATTATGTGTGTGCAACATCAAATCATGACACTTAGCTTTCATACACCCATGTTCCCCTTCCCCAAAGTGCCAAAATCAAGGCATAAACCAGTGTCCAAATTTCCCAGCGATGCTTGTTTCACACCTGTTTTATCATTTTATTGGCCAAATAGCGGAAAATCGAGCGTAAGAACTAGGCTCCTTACAGTACATGGTACTGGCCAAGCTGTACAGCCATACGCAAAGAAGAAAGAAACTGGACCCTTACCTAACACCACATACAAAAATTAACTCAAAATGGACCAAAGACTTAAACCTCAGAGCAAAACTATAAAACTGCTAGAAGAAAATTAGGGAAAATATATCCCACAATCTCAAGACAGCATTTCCATTACCCACCCATTCCCTGCCTTCTGTTTAATCAGTTCCTCCAGAATTCTGTATTTTCTTTCTCAAGAGACAGGCAGTTGTCAACTCAAAGTTACAGCCTCATGGCAGGTTTATCTCAGCTGCCCCAAACCAAGGTCTAGAGACAGATCAAAGAGAAGAAAAGAAAAGGGAGAAATGCATTCGGCCAAAGGTATAATCTCTGTGGGTACCCAACAGGTTCATGGGATAAGGGAAGCCTCACTGAAAACCAGTAAAGCACCCAATTTGTTGAAATCAGCTTTATCCAGACTATTAATTTTATTACTGGGTATGGCCTACACTTATCCATTATTCTAAGTGTTAATTAGAAACTTAAAAATACAGAAGGCTGATGTGAAACTTATGTTTTCCAGTTTTACTCACTTTGTGAATAGTAAACTTTTTTCACTTGACTATGTTATGTCAACTTGTTTACTAGAGTTACCAAGGAAAGAAGAGCAGATTAGATGTTCAACACAGTTATAGATTCTAACCATTAAGAAAACTAATCAGGCCCGGCTGGGCATGGCTCAGCAGTTGAGCGTCCACCTAGGATCCAGGCAATCAGGGTTCGGTTCCCGGTCAGGGCACATGCCTGGGTTGCGGGATCGATCAATGACTCTCTCATCATTGATGTTTCTATCACTGTCTCTCCCTCTCCTTTCCTCTCTCTGAAATCAATGAAGATGTATTTTAAAAAAAAAAAAGAAAGAAAACTAATCAGAGGAGGGCTGGAGGGCTTTTTGTTTTGTTTTAGCTTCAATGAACTGCATTTGCTAATAGTTATTATTTCATGGCACAAATATAAAAGCTTAAGCAAATGTCTTTCTCAACTTTATAGATTATAATTATCTGATACTTTGTGCTAATTAATGTCCCCTTGGAACATGGTAAAAACTAAATTCTCAAAGTTGTTTGCACAGTCAGTCTTGGCCAGCACTGTGTGCTATAGAAAAGTGACCAAGGAAACCAAGTCCCACCTGCAATGTTTGCAGCCAAAGGAATTTCGTGTAGAACAGTCAGCAGTGAGTAAGATTTCCCCTGCAACGTGCTAGGGGCATTCGGGGTGCGCTGTGTGTGTGGGAGACTCACAGCGTGAGCAGGGCTGCCCTCTCTCTGGCTGAGCTCTGGCCTGGGCCTCCTCACACCTCTGAGTGCTCAGGTGACAGCGAAGTCTCGAATGTTTGCAGCAGCAATGAAAGGCCCACGGGTCAGGTTCTTTTTAATTATGGAAACTCCTCTGATATGATTCATCCAGAAATCTAAAGTGAGCTCTGAGGCAATAAAACGGGTATAAGAGGAAATCACTTGTAATATTTAGTCATCATATGTGAGCATAAACCACAGGCTTTTTTGGCCCAGGGCCCACTGTTTATTATGAAGGAAAACCTCAAAGCCAAAGTCAATTACAGCCATGACTTGACAATCGGACACACTTGTTAGCCCTGCTAGAGTGAATGCAGTGCAGATGAACTCTGACCCCATCATACAATTGCAGAATTATTAAGACTAAATAAGAGTTTGACCAAAAGATTCCACTTGAAATGGTCCCTTCCTTCTGGCGAAGAGCTAATCAAAGAAAAAATTTTGAAAACATATTAGGGACACATAAGATGAGAGGTAACAAGATGTTTCTAAATAAGGAAAGTTCTATTTTCTTCAGGAAACAGACAAGAGTATTTGGAAAATAGAAAAGCATATCTCATGGCCCCTTTTCTTGCCAGAGCAGCCGCCAGTCTTGCAGGTTCAGTCCATTCAGTGTTCGGTGTGCGCATTTGGTCTGACACGGGACATGCGGATATGTGCATATTAACATAGTGTGCCGTAGGTAGGGCATCCTAACTCACAGTGACCTGCATGAGAGTCCAACGACCGGGTGAGGGTGGCGAAAAGGACATATATGGAACCCACAGAACGGGAAACAAAGAGGGCGGGAGAGAGAGAGCAAGTGGCGGGGGGAGATAGAGAGCGAGAGGGAGGGAGAGCAAGAGACAGGGAGAGAGGGAGAGAAACAAAAGAGCCCTTAAAAATCACCGTCAGCTACCTTATCACAAAGTGGGTGAACACGTCCGAATGACTAAATCCTTGGGGGGCACACCGACCTGAGGCCTCCCGGGTACCGCGGCGCCCTCTCTGGGCTCGCCCTTCTAAAGGTGTAACTGAGCGGCCACAGTTTCCATTCAGAAACGCGTGGCAGGGGGCGGCACCGCAGCCCCACTCACACTGCCGGGCGGGCAGCGGTCTCAGCGAAGGTACGCCAATCTCAGAGCGGGCACTAAAGCCCGGCTCCTGCTCCTTAGGCCCCGGGGGCTCCCACAGCGGCCTTTCAGCCCACGACTCCTCTTCCGTACGTGCTACCCGTTACTCTGCGAGGACAGGCCGTGCCCGGTGGGGTCAAACGCAGAAGTTTGACTCGGGAGCCAGACC